GATTTATATCCGATAAAAGATTACATTTATTTATTAGTAAAATATATTCTTTAAAAAAGAAATTTACGCATATTTTAGCAGTAAACCTTTTAAAAAAAAGAAATATAAACTTCATTTCAGAATTGTTTCATTTATTTTCACGATATTGTTTTTAAAAAAAAAGTATCTTGTTTTGAACAATATTAACGATGAACAGATAAAGTCATTAATTATATTCTCATCAAGAATTATATTTATTAATTTCTATTGATTAGTCAAAAATACTGTATATTTCTTATCGATTAATTATATAATTTAAATGATTAGGTTTGCAAAGAGAGAAAAAAATTATATATTGATTATTTTCATTGTCATACTTCATATAAATTTATGAATGTAAAGTACTAGAAAATCTGATATTTATTTTCTTTTTATCTATGAAAAAAAAAATGTCTGTTAACTTTGAATAATCATTATTATGCGTTAATTTTTTGCTTTTGCTTTTATGATAATTAGAACGATGTATGTTAATAATGGTAAGGATCTTGCGATAATCATCAGTTCTAATATAATAATACAAATATTTGATTTAATAAAATTGAATATTATAAATATATTTATTTTGAATATTTTATTAAATCTTAAAATAATATAAGACATGCTTTGTTATCATCATAAGATTATTCTTTGTGTAGAATTTGATAAAAGTGATTATGCAAATTTTTTTTTTTTCATTTCTTTCGATTTGCGATTAAGTTTATCATGTTAATAAAATCATTTCAATACAAATTGTGAAATCTAACTAATTGATAAATAACTTATAGAGATAATACTGTAAAATAAAATATTCATCAGAGATTCATTGATATTGAATTTAGTTATTTGATATTTTTTTTTTTTGTATGGTTATAAAAGAGAATTTAGATACTCTCATATGATAATTATGATTAAACTTGCAATATACAGAGTGGGTCATAAACAGCACTACAATAAAAATTTCAAATCTCTTTCCTTTGATTCAATTGAATTATCTGGCTTGTTGGTTAATGGTAGAAACTTATTTAAAGGTTTTTTTTTCATATCACTATCAAGTTATATTTTTGGCCTTACTAAAGGAATTTTACCTACTGTTAAGTAAGAAAAATACATATGAAGTGTGTCATAGATAATTTTCAGTTGTTATCTAAAGAACTTATAAGAAATAAAAAACGAACTTTATGAATGATACTATATATTGATGTATACAGAACACATTTTCAAAACTAATTAGTCAGTTTAAATGCTGAAACTCATGTCCCATAAGTAAAAAGCATAATTACAGCCATTTTGAACGCTAAAATACCAACTTCCTTGCAAAAACCAGTATTTCATGTAACTGATGTCTGTTACACTAACTAGTTTTGAAAATTTCTTGTCAGTGCATCATTTTAATGTTATCCATAAATAGGGATACGCAGTTTCAGTGAAAATACTGACACATTAACTACACTAGAACAGTATTTGCTGAAGTATTGACATATCCATACAGTATGGTCAGAGTATGGACATGTCAGATAAATCAGTGAAAAGTTTACTAAAACTACACATCCCTATTCATAAAGTTCGTTTTGAATTTTCTTAGATAACAACTGAAAATTATCTATGAAGTGCTGCATATATGTTTTTCTTATTTGATAACAGGTAAAGTTACTTCCATGATATCAACAATAATATTTGATAGTAGTAATCAGTCCATGTGATTGAACCGATACGGAGATAGATCTTATTCTATTGATTAATTCTATATCATCAAATCTTCTATCAAGAAAAGAATTAAATAGAATGTGTAGCATTGACAAGAAGCCAAACTTTCAATGATCAGAAAAAAAAAGAAAGGTTTCATTCTATAAATTATCATATATGTCTGGTGGTCTGTTATCACGAACATCAGATATTTACAAATCAGGATTGTACGTTCTATCACAGTCCTGCTGTCGATTGCTGCGGTTATTAAGCTTCTCCAGACGGCAACCATTAACACAAAATGATGTTGGATTTTTTTTTTAGCTATCAAGAACGAGATTAATATGTGTGTTTATATTTTATCTATATGTGTGTGATTTCTTACATCTGCATAAATATATGACAAGTTTTTTTTTTCTGTTTGATTTAAACATAGAAATGAAAACTAGTCTGTTTCATTTACTTGAAATAATCATTGCAATGAATGAGATATTAGATTTGAGTGTAGTTTATTTTTTTTTAAAAAGATCATTTATCTAAAATTACATTACATAAAAAAAAAAACACTTGTTCATATTTGACACTATCTATATTTTTCTTTTTTCCCCCGCTTTCTCTCCCTCTTGCTTTTTTTTTTTGCATCTGAGATATTGTAACACTCTAGATACACACATGTAATATTGTCGCGCTTATCAGTTTGCAGTTGCTGCCGTTGCGTATCGTCTTGTAATCAAGACGACACATATATACATATATAGTACAGGTAAATAATAATAACATTACTATCGTTAAGTGTAACTATCATCAGCATCAATTTTTTTTTTACCTGAATAACGATAACGATAATTACTTTTTGATGATGCTTCTCATAAAATGAAGGTCAAAACCTTGTTACGATTCTAGGGATTTTTCTTTTGAATATAACGATAATTTACTCGTCAAGACCATCAGACGTATTATATATAATCATTATTAATTCTAAGCAAGAAAAAGTAATATAATCTACGAACTTGTATCGATTTAATAAAATGATGGTACTATAGTGTATGGATATAAACACTTCACAAGTAATCGATACAAGTGTTATTTCAGATATGGTTATAGAACAACAACAATTCGATTGGTCTATTGATTTAATAGATTCAATTTGGTTTCATATTAGTAATTATTTAACTATTAATGATATTCATCGTTTAAGTTGTACATGTTCACGTTTATATACACTTTTTACTAGTAATGATTTTTGGTCATATCTTATACGTAGACAATTTGGTTATATAATATGGAATCGTTCAATAAAAAATTCATTATTATTAAATAATGATAATCAAATTACAAATTTAAAAAATCAATCATGTCGTTCAAAATTAATCTATTTTGAATTACTTAAACGTAAACGTATATCATTTTCTGATTTTAATCTTTTTACTTTTGATACAAATCGAAATTATACAACAATTCCTGATTTATCTAGTCTTAATGGTTATGTACTTTATATAAAAGATTCAATTGAAATTTGTTATTCACTTCATATTGAAACATTATTTGAAAATATTCTACCCGGAAAATATGATGTTATTTGGCGTATGAAACTTAATATACCTTATATGTTAGGTGAAACAGAATTTTTTGCTGTTGCCGAACAAGTAAATCCTGGTCAAGCAGCATATATGCGATGGACACAAGATGATTTTCTATCTATGTATAGATGTTTTTATTGTGATATAACAAAAACTAATCTATGGTTTTATCAAACAATTGGAATTATAGAAATAAATGGAGATAAACCATGTAATGTTTTTATATCTATGACAAATCATGATTCAATACATGCAAAATATGGAGTATATTTAGATTATGTAGAATTAAAACTTTGCTTAGAATAGACTAGAATGAAAAAAATCTTTTTCTTTTTTCCTTCGTTATTTATTATGTATAGTTTGATTCTTTTTATGTATCAAAATGTGTCCTTTTTTTTTTCTCGGATATGACCTTGCGCTTGCTTGCTTGTTTATTTTTTTGTTATTGATTGCATAAAAAGAAAAAAAGAAAGATTTATTGAAGTAATTGAGTAAAAATATCAATTATTCTTGAAAGAAATTAATTTATATTTCAAATAATCTATTACAATCTGGAAAATATTATAGAATTGTTGTAGTTATTTATAATTTTACATGATTTCTTTTAAGTATAGATGAAAATTATTTAACCTTAAAAGGATAAAAACATGAATTTTACTTTTTATTTTATGTTATTATCTTCTATTTTGTCTAAATAACTATAGATGAATGAGATTAGATTGCTCGACACAATATCTACAAGGTACTATGTACAAACCTCAATACCACCGGCGATGAAATGATCCTGAACCAGTCATTAACTGCTATTTGTCTCGTATCACCCGTTCGATAGCATGCTGACTATGTTGTGATATACACTTGCTCTTGTGGTTAGTAAGTCATAGTTGTAGAAAAGATATTGAACTATTGAATCTACCACTGTATTTCGCATCGCAAGGTAGCTGAAAGGCAGAGGTTATAATGAGTAATCTATTATGGAATATTATTTTAACATTATATCATATACAATGATTTACTCGATATCGTGTATATAATTTTTATTATTGGAATGATTACATTTCTTGTATTGTAAAACATATAGATATTATTTATTTATGTAGTTGTAATAATAGAATCTGTCTATGAATAGATGTCTATCTCGAAAGAGTATGACATGGTCTGATTTACATACCAAGGTTATTTTTGAGATAATCATATTTCAAGCTATCCGAATTTCTTACTTCAACATGTAAAAATGTACATATTATATTTGGATACGAAATCTATATATACTTTTCTGCATTATCCAATATAAATATATAAGATTTCATTAATATCTGTAAAATCACATGTAATTATTCTAGACGACTAAGGACTGTTTAGATTAGACACTGTCAGATTCCTACAATCGGATCCAAATGAAAGCCTCCTTTTATTTTTTTTCTTTTTAATATTATTCATGTTGACAAGTTTTTCAAATATATATAAAAAATAAAATCATATATATTTTATTTTAAGATCTTTTATTTTTAATATGATTGAATTTTTACTTAAACAAAATAACTGTGTGCTATTTCAATTAGAAAAAAAAATGACTCTTGATTTTTTTTCTTAAATCATGTTGAAGAACGTATTAAATAATAATAATAATAAAGAAAGCAATAGACAACATAAATCTTTCAACTGGTCTTTTTTCTATATGTACAAAACTTAGGTGACAAAAAAACAAAAATGATATAATCAATACATTTGTTGTTGTTGTTGTTGTTGATATTGTTGAAAATAAGCAAAAAAATTCGCTGGTGGCATCATCATTTGAGGTGGTGGTGGTGGTAATACTGGTGGTATTGTACCTAATGCTGGTGGTGGTTGACTAAAACCACTTGTTACCATACCAGTTGGTGGACCTTGTGGAATAGCACTTGCTGCTGCAACTGCAACTGTTGGAGGTGGTAAACTAAATCCAGATGTTGGCATTGGTGGTGGTGGTTGACTAAAACCTGATGGAACCATTGGTGTTGCTACTGCCATTGGTGTTGAATTCATTGACATTGGATTTGTTGTTGTTGTTATTGATGATGATGATGGTTGTGGTGGTAATGGTGGTGGTGGTACACGAATATTTGTTGTTGATGTACGCATTGGTGATGGTGCAACAGCATTATCATTATAATGTATTTTAAACCAATTAAGTGTTTCGGTTAATGTTGGAAACATTTTCGAACGAAATCTTACACCATTTGGTGTTACAGTAAAATATTCATGTATTGGTTTACGTACAGGCATATATGATAAAAGAAATTTAGTTGGATATTCACGTGATATTGTTATATAATAACGTATTCGTGTTGGATTACGTCGTTTATCATCAATTAAAAGATTATTAAGAATTCTTTGTGCATCATTTGATAATGGTGGTGGTCCTGATGTTGTTGTTGATATTGTTGTTGTTGTTGTTGTTGCTGTTTGTGCTGGTGTTGTTGAACCTGTTGGTGTAGCTGATGGTAATGGTTGAGATAAATTACGATAATATTTATGTGTAATTATATCTGAAACTGTATTTGCCATTGGTTTAATATAACGTGCAAGAATTTCATCAAGATCTTCAAATTCTTCTGTTTCTTGTGTACGTGGATCAATAATTAATAAACGTTTACCAAGTGAAAATTGATTTGATTTAGATTTTTCAATAACATCAATATTATGTAAAACACCATCAACTAATTTCCATGTTATTGTTAAATGATCTGATGCTTTTGAACTTGGTCGTATAATAGCATCACCTAAATCTTTTGTTGAAAGTATACGTTCACATTCAAGATAATTTATATTCATAAATGATGGATGTGCAATAACACGTTTAACATAACTACGTTCTTTAGCTGCTTGTTTTAATTGTTTTTCTTTTTCAGCTTCAGCTAAATCTTCACTTTCAAGTGTTTGATCATAAAATGAATCTTTTCCTGGTCGCCATCGTTCCTTATCATCACGTAATTCACTTGATTTTGATGTTAAATCAACACTAAATTGTTTTATATTAATATTTATTATACGTGCATAAATAACTTGATGTAATTTAACGCGATCTAATGGATTTGTTACTGGTGTATCAGATAGATCACGAAGTTTTATAAAACCTGTACAACCATTATCCAAACGAACACGTACACCGACTAAAAAAGAACAAAAAATAATTTATTTGTTTTTTTTTTGTGTTCAAAGTTAAGATCTTACGAAGAAACTTCTTCAGATATGAAATTGCTTTTCGATTGAGACGATGTTTATTTAATGAGTAATAGAAAAGTCTAGAATGGTTTTATCTTTCGAAACTTCTTCGAAAATTGATTTTTAACGTGATCTGAAGACGATTACAGGCTTTTGTTGAAAAAAAAACAATAAAATTTCGATATCGCAAGAACTCGAAAGTCTAGAAAACCAAACCATTCTAGATTTTTCTATTACTCATTAAATAAACATCGTCTTAGACGAAAAGTAATTGGACATCTGAAGAGGTGTCCTCGTTAGCATGATTCGATGAGTTAATATTTACAAATTTTTCTAAAAAAGTTTAAATTCAAAGTTTCGATATCAATACAATCGATTATTTTTAACTGTTTTTTTTTCGAATCGAATTTCTGACCGTCTTGTAACTCATAAACAATTAATCAAATGAGTCGGAATAATATGATATCCAACATAAGTTTTACACGGCCATAACAAGTATCATTCTCAATGAAAAAAGTATTGCTCATGTCTACTGTGAGCTCTATTAATTACAAAAAAAATTCAACAGTCGTAGATGTTAAAACGCAGTAGAGTAATCTTAACCGGTGTATTGAGACAATACTTTTTTGCCTTTTTTTTTCTCTTTCTCTCACATACTCAACAAGAACTGTTTCGAGCAGATTTGGGATAAATCCATCGATAGCAGTACAGGAGTTCTGCATTTATTTACCGATAAAAAGAGATCTATATAGTTGATTATGTTAAAGAATATATTAGAAAAAAGTTTACAAATAAAATCTTTTACACTTCATTTTGAAGATATTTTTAGAATATCTGATAAAGGTCTTAACAAATCTTATTATTTATAACTTACTTGGTGTTCCTTTACATCGATTAGTTGAATCAAAATGATTCCATGCCTAATAACAAAACAAAGAATTTAATTCTAAGTTTCTTTTATTTTTGTTTTTCTTACTTCTTTAACATTATGAAATCTTTCTGTATGACATAAAGGACATTTTAACATTCCAGTTATTTCATCTTTTTCTGGTTGTGCAGCTTCAAGTTGTTGTGGTGTTGGTTTTTTTCTTGCAAAATCAAATACTTGACATTGTATTAATTTACCCAAATGAAATGTAGCTGGTGTTTCTTTTGTTATAAAATGAAATAAATCAACTTGACTTGGTGGTTCATAACGTACACGTACATCTTTATAACGATGTGTTAATTCAGCACGTATATCATATAATGTTATTGATTGATCACCATACATTGTATTTTTTAATTCAACAGCAAATGCATCTAAATCTAAATCTTTTAAACGTTCAGAATTTTGAAAAATTTCTTCTAATGCAGCACTTGGTTCCATTTCCGATGATTCTTCTATATCTAATGCATCAACAGCCATTTTACGTGCCCAATCATATGCTTCAGGATGTATACGTGTACTATCTAATATTTCAATATATGATTCACTTTGTTTCATAGCATCTGTATTTATTTTAATAAAACCAGCACAATTTGAAAAAACACATTTACCCATATTATAATTAACAACAAGAAATGTACGATTTTCTAATTGTAAATTATTTTGTTTAAAATATTTAATTAAATGTGTTGCTTTACGTGGACCAAGACCACAAACAAATTGTAAAACATTTGATGTATGAGGATATATTATACAACGATTTAAATCAACACCAACTTCATTTGTACGTGATATAAAACATTGTTCTAATGTTATTAATAATTGATCACGATCAATTAAATCTTGTAATGGATGATATTTAATTAATAAAATTTCTTTATCATAATTAAATAATTGTGAAAATTCTAATAATGGATCTTGTAAACGACGTCCTTGTGATACAGCTAGACGTAATTTTATTGGATAATCACGAAAATCTAATTCACCTTTACGTGATTGTGCATAAATTTTTGATAAATCGGTATCAACTAAAAGAACTTTAATTGGTTCAGGTAAATTTTGAAATTGTTCTTCATCATGTTGTAATTGATTAACCATATCTTCAAGACATGTACGTAAATATAATGCATCACGACTTTCAACACCTGAAAAAAATTCAATTAAAAAAAAAATTATATTTGAAATTTATCATTTTTATTTCAAAAATGATTGAACAAAAATATTATGAGCATATTCTTTAATTATTTGGAAAAGTTTTTTTTTTTTCTATCGTGTCTTTTGACTACGTTCCGATATAGGGCGCTGTCTAATGGTAGATTCAGTGGTTCGATATCTTCCGTACAAACGATATTAGCTATAGCGTTGGATAGAAGGTCAGCCTGACACAGAGTTCTTGCACTCAATTGTTTCAGTTCTTCATATACACTAGGTAACGATAAGAGTGAGTGCATGAAAACAGATGTCATTGATTTTCTAGAATGAATACATAATGTTCCTTTATTATATGTTTATATAATTTTTAAAAAATATCTTTTCTTGAGATTTTATTTAAATCTCTCTCAAAGTCAATGTTCTTCAAAAGAATTGAAATTAAGATAATACTCCAAGGTGTGATCTTTCATAAACTGTATGATTTTTTTTTATTTGGCGCTTCCTTCTTGACCAAAATTTTTGACGATTTCTGCTATCATTCGTTTGAAAACTATGCTATTTTCAGAAAAAGCGGAAAATCTTTTTCTCTGTTTATGCTTTTTTTTTGATCAAACATTATGGATTAAGTTTTTTTATTATTATACAAAAAAAACACTTCTGTAAACATATGATCATTTTTCGACGCACTAAACTTATCATCCACTTTTTCTGCATAAAAAGTCAGAATTTCAAAATACCGGCACTACAGTCTAACATGTTCTTGTAAATAAAAGAAAAATGAAATCTATAGAATGAAGATCCTTAGAGAATTTTAGTTTGTCACATGAGCAATATTTTATTCAACATAAAGGCGGCACCCTTTCCGAAGTTTATGGTTATTATACTACGTATTATGTATCTGTAAAAATTTTCATGTGATTTCAATGCACCTAGTTCAAGATCAGTTTTTCAATAACCGGAGCGGAGGGGTTTATAATACTATTATTTTCTTATAAAGAATTATTGTTCGAAATTATATATGATGATAATCTTACCTATACAAATAACATCTGGTACACGTTGTTTAATAAATGTTCTAATAGCTTCAAAATCTTTTTCTTTTTTTATTCGATTATCTGTTGAATAATTTTCTTTTAACATTAAATTTGGTAAACGTATAAAATCCATAACTTGTCCTTCTGAACTTAATATAACAGCATATGATACATCATCAGGATCAGTTGAATAAGCAATAGATAAAACTCTTACACCAGCATCTGATATACTTGTTACATTTTCATCATTTGATAAACGATATGGTGCTATTTTAATCCAATCATTTAAACAAACTGAACATTGTTTATTAACATATTGTCGTGCTTCATCAAGTAAAATTTCTTCTAATTCACGTTGAAATTTTGGATAAAGAAATTTATTAAGCATTAAATCAATACACATAGCACGAATTTTATTCCATTCAAGTACATTATCAGAATATTCATCACGTGTATATGAACGTTTTATTTCATCACTATATATATGTTGATTATTTTTAGTATCAATAATATAATCAATTTTCATTAAACCATCTTTAACACTTTGATGTAAATAAAGAAATTGATCTTTTGTTAATGTATTAACAGGTTTTTCAATAAGATATTTCATTGTATAACATGGATGATCTTCTGTTATTGATTGTATACCGAGACGTGTTGGTCGAGCATTTATCATACAACGTGATGTAAAATCACGACGAATAACATAACGTACTAATGGATCAAGAGATAATTGACGTGCATGCATAAATATTGCTGCTTGTAGAACAGCTTGTGTTGTTGGAAATTGTTTACATATAAATTCTTCACATGTAGCTGTTGGTCCAATAGGATATTGATCAATTTCATTTTTTTGATAATTTTCATAAAGATTTTCACCTAATTTATCTGGTTTTAAACCAAATTTTTTAATTAAACCTTCTAAATGTGCTTGTTTACAAACACTATAATAATCTGTTTTTGTAAATGGTTTTGATTTAATATTTAATTGTGTACGTATTTGTTCAACTAATGTTTCTTCATCAAGTTCATCTTCATCATCAATTGTTGGTAATGGTTGTTCATCATTTTCATTTTGTTCAATATTTGTTATTAATTTTTTACGTTTATCACGTTCTTCACGATATTCAAGAATTTTTTCATGTAAACGCATATTTGGTATATCATCATTATAATAAACATGAAATTGTTCACGTAAATCAGCTATTTCTTCAAGTGTTTGTGCACGCATTAAACGTTCTTTATCAATATCACAATCAGTTAATAATCGTGTTGTTAATGTATCTTCATTTGTATCACCTAATTGTTCATATTGATAATTACGATATTTATCCATACGTTCAAACATTGACATTAATTTATCTTTGTGTGATTTAAATATCATCCACTAGAAAAGATGAGACAAAAAATAAAGTAAATAAAGATTTAATTCTTATTGAATTTATAATTGATCTAATAAACAATAACTAATGAATTATTAACTATACCTTTTCATCCCATTGCCAAATTTTCCATAGATCAGGAATTTTAAGATCAGGCTCAATATGTTCTTTACGATAGAATGCAATAAATGGTACCTGAACAAAACAAAAAAAAAAAATCAATTATAAAATAACCATGAATTTATGATTTAAAAAAATAATAAAAAATTCTTACTTCAAATGAATCATTTCTTATATAATTAAGTGCATTTTTAATTTTTTTTTTAACTTGAAGATTTTTTGCTGTATCTTCTTCAACCGGCTTAAAAAGAAAAGAATTGAAAATTATTTTCAAAAAATTTTCTATAATTACTTGAAGAGAAATTGTTGGTTTAAGAAATGCTCCATTATAAATCCATTCAGCTTCTTCTTCAAGTTCTTCTTCTTTAGCTTCAGTTACTGGAATATGTCTTAACTAAAAATATTCAATAATAATGTTTTTCGTTTTTTATAAATCTAACTTGAAATCGTTCTGGTTTATCAATTCGTCTTATGTTAATATCTGCTTCTGTTAAATAACCACGTTGTAATTCTTCAGGTTCAAATAATTCTTCAGCTTTTGGTTTTCGACGTTGAGCTCGAATTGTTCGTCGTCGTTTTGTTGATATTGTTTCCTAAAAATTGAAATAATAAAATTATTTCTTAAATATTTGAATGCTTACATCTTCAATTGGATTTCCATCTTCATCAAGTTGAGGTTGTACATCTTCCTCTTCCTCTTCTTCTTCCTCATCTTCTAAATCCTCATCTTCCATATCATCATTTAAATCATCAAAATTAATATTATCAAATGTAAAATCATCTCCAAATATAGCTTGTGCTTCAGCAATATTTCTATTTAGAAAAACAAAACAAATTATTGTATTTTTAATATAAACGATTTTGTATTTTCGCTATTTTTTTCTTACGGTGCATTTTCATTTCTACGATGAGATGTTTTTGGTAGTGGTTGATTTTCATCATCAACAATAAAATCATCTAAAAACAAAAGCAATTTTTAATTTTAAAACTATTAGCAACATCTCTGCAAAATTGCTTTATTCTATCTTTTTTTTGGGGACATATTTCTTTACCATTCTTTTACTTAATCCTTCAGAAATGCAATAGAGAAATAGTTCATATATTAGAATGAAAGGTTATCGACATACAATCTTTGTTTGCTCAAAATTTTTACTCTTTCTTTTAGATTGTGTTTCATAAAAAAAAAAGAAATCAATATTTATTTACCATCATCTTCATACTCTTCAGCTGCACCTCCATCATCATCATGATGTGTAATACTATGATCCTAAAAGAAATTTTTTTTTGATTATTTGTTTGTTTTTATTTTTTCGTTCTTACATCATGTTCATCTCGTCGTACACGACTAGATGATGTCGGTTCATATTGAGATGCAGTAGGTAGCTCATCATCATCATCATCTTCACCTTCGATTTGAACACGTTTTGGCTATAAGAAAAAAAAAAGAAGATATTTGTTAGAATTTGGGGCAAAAAAAAGAAAAAAATAATTTACTTTTATTCGTTTATTTGTATTTTCAGCAATTAATCTTAAATAGAAATATAAAAGAAAATATTTAAAAGAAATAATTACGATTTTTCTCTACTGTAAATCTTCATCATCAACGTCATCATCGTCTTCTGATTCACCGGAACCTGATTGATCATTTTCATTGTCATCGTCTTCCTAGAATAGAAAAAAAAAAAAGAAATTATTTTATAAAATTTATTGTTTTTGTATCTTACATCCTCTCCTGGTTCAGCAATAAAACCTTTTAATTCTTTTACAGCTTCTTCATCCATTACTTCATCTTCCTCGTCATCATCATCATCACTCACTAATAGAAATAAAGAAAATATAATAATAGATTTTTAAACAAATTTTTAAGTGAGAAAATTTACTCGGTCGACTTGATTTAAGTTTTTTTATAGCAGCTGCTCGTTGTTTTTTTTCTGTATCGCTTTCTTCAGCTGAATCTTCTTCTGCTTGTTCGTCAAAAAATTCATTTCGATGACGTTTTTTCGGCATTGTTTTCTTTTTTTTTTTTTGTAGTAAATTCAAATTGAGATCAAGATACGCAAGAGTCTAAAATAACGACGAAATATTTCTCTCGTAGAAAATAAAACATCAACTTACTCGAACTATGAATTTAAATGAATCTGAAATAAAATTTTAAAAAAAATATACAAGACTTTATATAGAAGAATAAGAATACGTTGAATACTGCTTACGAAATATTCATCAATTAGAAAGTTTTTTTTGTGACGATTATTTACTTTTATACAAAATTTATTCTCTTGTGATTAGTTTATTATTTACCAAAAAAGATTTCAATAGAGGTCGTTCAAATACGAGTGATAATATCTGACTAAATGATTCATCAAAACGAAAAAAATTTTCAAATAACTATAAGTTACACAACTTGGAAATTCCAACTGGAATAGTAAATACTTTAGAAAAATTTCTCTCACAGTATGATACTAGCGATATGTTCCAGCAGTTCGTGAACTAGCCTTGCAGATCTCTGATATGTTGATATTTATCAATTGTCTAATTCTTAGACTCTATATTATTAATTTGACTGCGTTAGCTCTTGGACGTTATCTGAAGATTCATTTAAAGTTTTTGTATTTATTATAAAGAATTACAAGGTGTTTCTTTTACGGCAGTGTATAGAAAGGTAAGTTCCAACTAGAAAGAGCATGGTGAGTAGAATTGAAATCGTTAACAGAGTGTTCAATTATATTAAAATGAAGTGAACGGAAAAAATAAATCATGATTATAGACATTTATCACTACTTCCAATGTCGAAGAGATTGATTTTGAAACATGTTTCAATGATTATGCAATATAAATTACACTTTGAAACGGCAAGAAATGTGATGATCACTTTTTTTTGTAGTTTATCACTGTTTTACGAGAAGAACGAATGGACATAGCCGTATAAATGGCATTCTAACCGTTTCACTTCTTCCTGCGATAGTTTAATGTGTTGTATGTTATTCATAATAAGTTATATTATCAAAATAAAATAAAATATTTGTTTAGCAATACAATTTATCATAGATTTATTTGAATTTTCTATAGCTAATCAATAAAGTTCATGTCTAGTGATTATTTCATCAATATACTAAGTTACTGGAGAATTATTAATGTAAGAAAGTTTTCTATTGACCAATAGATGACCAGAGAGATAGAGAACTACCAAAAAAAATAAATACTAAAAAAGTGCTTTAGTAGTCAAGCAGAAGCCTTACATCATTACTGTATCGATGAAGCAACCGATATGATTAGTTGACAAATTTTTTTGATTATTAAAAGATGAGAAAAATCGAATAGTATTAATTTAGTAGAAAGCAAAAAAAAATAGCAAAGAAAAAAATGTCGACAAAAGTTTATTTTGAGATTCCCAACCAGCAAGATGAAGATATTTTATTGTATCCAAAAAAAAGTGAGAGATATATAAGTACACCAATAAGAGATAATAGTGTATGACAAATATTCAACAACAAGGCAACACGTTTCTTTATATGGATAAGTGTGGAGTGTGCATGCAGATATCAATCTTTTATTTATGTCTATCTCTACACCCACACCTTATATTTATTCATTGTTTTTATACAATCGACATTTGTTTCTTTCGGTCAAATTGATACGTATAGAAAAACCAAAAATAACTCATGCTAATCTATCGATTGGTGTAATGGTTTAGACTAATATCGTCATCGGTAAGAAACAGAGCAAAGATATCTATCGTAGCAGCAGCTCGATTTTTAAAAGACTATTTTTTTTTTGTTTTCTAAGAAATCTTCAATGCGTAAGGAATGATTCACTTTGATATTTCGATTAATCAATGTCTAGAAGCTGATTCATCATGATCGATAGTTAAGAAAAATCCATTTCAATATTAATCAAATGATTTTACATCATCAAAATTTCCTTTATTAAAATGTCATGTTTAATAACTACTTTCAATTTTTGCTACATTAGCAGAGGCGGAAAAGTATTTTAGTTACAGTGATGTCATACTGAATAATAGAGGACAAAGCTTATTACCAGCTCAAGTGAATAATATGCTTGTCATCAAATATGTGCTACAAGCGTTAACAGATTGATTCAATAAATCAGTGAATTATTTTTCTTGTAAAATGATTTTTTATTTATAATCAGCATTTCAATGAATTCGTACCAATTTGCTTTGCTATAAATAACAACGAACAATTAACTTAGAAATTCTTCACATTTAAGCGAGATGCATCGTGACATCTTATAGCTAAATATAATATTCTACATTATCTATCTCCTTTTTAAAACTATAAAGACTCTCATTATCTCTTTCTAGTTCATAATATAATGTGAAAAAATATACAGGTGTTATGTTATATTTACATTATATCCATCTCTCATGAATAACTTATGAAGTGCAGTAATAGCGGTGAATTTTCAGCTGTAACAGACATCTCTGGAACAGTACCCTGTCAATTATAACTCTGCTTTGTACAATGCCATTTGAAATTAGTGTTTCGATACGAGTGATGATATGTTCATTTCGATAAAAAATTTTCCAATCACGACTTCTAGTTCAATAATACAGAAATAAACAACAATAAGTAATTATCTTAAAATAAGTATCGAAACAAAATCTTGCTTCTTACTAAAGTTGTTTTGTTTTTTTGCAATTTTACATTAGAAAAAGAACCAATTTAAAACTCTTAAATACATCAAGTTGTAGAATATTTCATGATGATAAAATAGCAGAAAAAGAAAAAGATCCCATTGTCTTAACATTTGTTATAATTCACTCCAACCTCTTTTAATTAAAAACGTTTCTAGCTGAGCGATTTGGCCGGAACAAAAAAAAAAATAATAATAATAAATATAGAGGAAAGAAAGAAAGAAAACCAACAAAATCTTTCAGTACAAACACTCAAGCAGTAACAAAAGAAAAAAAAGAGCCACACACACATGTTTAATAAACGTGCTTATTGCAAAAGAAAAAAAAAAAGAACAGAATTCAAGTTCTATGTATTTTTTTTTTAAATAAGCAATCGGAATGTTTCGATAAAAAGAAAACTAATCATTAGGTTTTTTTTTTTTTTTGTTTTGTTCAAAAGTGAGATCATTTGTATTTACATATATATGTAAGATGAAGTAATCACTGTAAACCACACATATTTAATTTTTAAAAGACAAGAAAAGAAGAAAAAAAAAAGAAAGAAAAGTATTGCCACGAAAAAAGAGAATATAAATTACAAAGACCAAAAAAGGAAAAAAAAGAACTTTTATCGTCGTGTTATTTATTATTCTGTGTTAGAAAAGGAAAATTTCGAGGTGTTTGACGTGATTTTTGACTACTTGTATGCGTATTTGCAAGTGGATTATTTGTTACAGTGGACGAACCATCTCGCCGCTCATTTTGCGTATTCGTTGATTTTGTTGCCTCATCTGTTTGGATAACTAAAGATAAAATGAGAAGAAAATTTTCGTTTTTTGTTTTTACTAATCTTGTCTTTTTTATCCCTCCCTGCGCAAATGTCTAAAGCAATAGGTTAGTCAAAATTAAATGTCAATATTTTCATTCAATTTGTTTTTATTTTTTTTTTTTTTGGATATCATTCTTTTCTTTTCCCACCTTTAAATCCAACATAGTAAAACGACGAACTGAAATATTTGATTTTTTTATTCTTAAATAGTTTTTATTATTTAATTATTTACCCAATGTTTTTGTAGCTAATGGTGTAAATGATTTAGCAAGAAATTCTTCATATGTTGTTTCTTTTTTATGTGTACGTATTATTGAATTTATTATACGATAACGTTCTTCATAACTAAAAATAAAAAGTTAATTCAAATAATCATCATATTAAACAAAAAATAAATAAATCTTACAATTCACAATGATTATTAAGTGTTGTACGACGTGCACGACTAGCATTTATAGCTGTTGCACGTACTAATTCTGGAAGAATAAGTTTATCAACAATTGCACCATCAAATAATGGACCGAAATTTGTTGTCTAAAAGAAATATTAGATATATAAGCAATTAATAATAGTAAATGGATAGTTCGATAGAAAAGAAAAATCTTTAACGAGCTGGTTTAAAATTTTTCAATATTTACGTTTATTTATATTAGTCGATAAAGTTTCTAATTATAAGTTATATTGAAAGATAATCTAGGATTGATAATCATCGAAAAGCTTTTCTTTAATAATAAATAATAAAATGAACAAGTGCTTAGATTGTAAAAAACATTTGCATAATATGTTCAAAATTATTTTTTCTGATTTAGAGTAAATTTATTGAGAATAGATCTTTTGATAGAGATTAAAACTAACGTTTGTAACAAAAACTAAATTTAGAAGGTGTTGGTAAATCAGAACTTTTTTGTTTTTACTGACTTACGGTTCGCTCTAGCTGTGAGCAAATATTAAAACAAATCAAAAAAAAGTTTGCATTAACGAGAAAACTATCTTGAGTAGTATCTCGTGTTCGAGATGAGACACCACTCATTACATAGAGTCTATTGAGACTAGAAAGATTCCTCTCTATGTGCTGACGTTCTGAAGTTATGGTTATTTCACTAGATTTTTTTACCCATAGTACGATACTTTTAAAGAAATAAGCTGAAAAATAAATGTTGATCTGAAGTTTTGTTCATATTATTTAATTATAATTTTAACTTACTTGGCTAGTTTTATCAATTTTAATTCTATATAAACCATTCGGTAATGGATGTATAACAATTAAAACATCACCAAATGCACTAGCAATAATTGATCTATCATATTCATGATAATGTTCTGTCCAAATAATTTGTACTTCATCATTACCAATATGACGTATTTTTTTTCTTAAACGATCTTCATCTGTTGAACCATCAATCATTGTTGCAACATGAAACATAATTTCAACAAGTGCATTTGCATAATATATTGAATATGTATTAGCTAATGGATGTAAACCACCTCGAAAACCAGTATGTTTTGATAATTCAACTTGCCAACCGAGATGTGTAAGAAATTCTTCATAATTTGGACTACCATGTGTATTATTAAATATACTTGTTTTATCTTCTTGTCCATAACCAATATAAATAACCGCTAAAACAAAAAAACCGAAAAAATTAAGATTTTAAATTTGAATGAAAATGTTTGTTAATGGTATTTGTGTTTTTTTATTTTTGACTTACCGATTTTATGTGTTTCACGACAATTAAGTGTATCTAAATTTTTTAATTCACGTAATAGTTGATCACAGTTTGTTTTTGATGTATTTAATAAATCAATATTTTGTCGATTTTCAAACATCATTAAACCAAGTTGTGTTATATGTGATCGACATAATGCAAATCGATCATAACGTGGTGATTGAATGACATTTTCAATATGTTGTTCAATTTGACCAAATGAAGATGAATCTAAATAAAATATAAAAAAAGGAAAAGAAAAAACTTTTGTTTGTTTGTTTGGCTGGTTGGTTGGTTGATTTGTTTTTACCATAATTTTTTTCTGCTGTTTCTTGTTCATTAATCATTCTTATAATAGCTTTTTCATCATGAGCAGAAATCGATGTTGGTGTTGGTGAAACATCTGTTAATGTTCGATCACTGTAAAACGCTAATTCCGGACTATGAGATGTTATATATTGAAGAAGCTATAAGAAAAAAAGATTTTATTTTTTATCAGTTATACTCTTGATTAAATATTAAACTAAGAGTTAGAAGTTAGAATTTTATGTAGAAAAATATAGGACAATAAAATCATCTGTATTAAGAATGGTAAAATAACTACAGAAGTCAAAGATCTTGAGAATTCGGCATACATTCCTGATATAAATGATGAACTTCAATTCTCAATCTTATTATCAATTATAACTCTATCGATTTTATTATTGTTTAACAGTTCTAATAGGATATATTCATTCTTAATGAGATTCTTGTAATAGTTAAATATTAATACAGATAATTTTCTTGATTTATTTTTTTTTCTTCATAAACTACATTTGTAAAAAAAACTCTTATATAATCGAAAATGAAATTATTCTATATTACTTTATCTAGAATATCAGTATTTGGTGGTTGATTTTGAAAAGTTGGTGGTTGAATAGAATCAAATTTTTCCAATACTGTAATTCCTCGTGTTGTTTCTTCAACGTGATATGTTGATTTAGTTGGAAGAGATAATTCTACAAATAAGAATTTATAAAGAAACATTATAAAACAAAAATTCTAACCAATAGGATTATTAAATGGACGTGTAATGGCTTTTGAATTTGAACTAATATTAAAAGTATAATTATCCCAACAATATCTTCCACATAAATCTCTTATTATTGTTCGACATAAAGTTGTTCCTGATATAAATTGTTGATTATCTGTTGTTAATTCATTTATTTTATCATTTGGAATTTCAATAAATGATATAAGAAAATCATCATGAATAACAAATAATTGAATATTTGATGATTGTATAATTAATTCATCTGATTGATTTAAATTTTGATTATCATCATTTTGTATTGTTGGTTGTTGTTTTGATGATATTAACCAATCATGTCCTTCATGTACATTTGTTGTTATAAGTGATGATTCATTTTCAGTTAATGGAAAATGTGAATGTTCATTAAGTAAAAATAATATAGCAAATTTACAACATAATTTTATTGATTGACTTAATGTTAATTCATTATCTTGAACTTTTTGTTCATCATTTAATGAATTTGTTGAATGATAAACATCAACTAATATTGAAAATGTTCGTTGTATAATTGTTGTTGTTATATCATGATTATTTTCATCACGTTGTATTTGTTGTTGTTGTAAATAATTTGTTGGAACATGTAATATCCAATCCAATAATGCAAATATTAAAGATTTTATAATACGTACATTATTACGCATTAATGCACCAATATCACGTGGAATATTTGAACGTAATGATGATATAAGACCATCAATAATTAATGTATATAATTGACCATTTTGATTATCACGATGTGAAATAAATAATGGAGCATAAGATGCAAGAAAACGAAGCATATCAGCTGCGAATACTGTTGAATCAGCTGGCTAAAAAATAATCAAGAAATTAATTTATTAATCAAAATAAATTAATTTAATTGTATTGTGTCATAATGCATGTGAAGAGAAATTTTTGATATTTATCTCATAGTCTAGACAATTTTAGTTAATATTGTTAAAGGTTTTTGAATTATGTTTTTAAAAAGCAATAGTAATAATGGCGAGAAAAAAAACATGAATAGTTATTAAAGGATTTTATATGTAGATTATAATAAGAATGAAATTTGAAGACGAATCTTGGACTGCCTAAATGTTGACGATATAGATATTCATATGAGCTTGTATTTCATGGTGTTGTTGTGATGTGTATAGGAGAAAAAAAATGTACGCCATATTGACTTTAATAGAGTTTTCGTTTTCATAAAAATAGATATGTCGCTATCATTAGATTGGTATGTGTGATGCTCTGTGTTTGTGCTTACGTAGTGGACTCTGATCAGTAAGGTAGCAGATTTAATTTAACCATGCAATTGATAGTTATAACATGACATTGGTGATAGGCATAAAATCGTATTAATTTTTGCATTAGAATTTTAATTCAAGCTTAAGAGTGACTGACTGACTGACAAAGTTTTATTGATTGAAATGTATAGTTTCAAAAAGGAGTACAGGGAGAATTCTCAATTATTTCGAACTAAACATTGTCATAAAGCAAAAAAACCTACGAACAATATTTTCAAATGTATTGAAAGAAAGAATATGTAAAATAGATGTATATTAGCGGACATAAGTTGAGAATAGTTGCATTTTTAAGTTTTTCTCTCAATGACAATAACTGGCAAGCATTTGTGTAGCTGGAAGAATTCTCTAATGTAGGATTAATAGGCACAAAGACTCCAACAAAACTACTTGGATGAAGGTATGCGGAAAATCAAGACTCTCTCATAATCAGCTTCTCTGGCTTTCATTCGAAGCTCTTGGGAAAAGATTTTGTTTGATAGAGCGCATCTCCTATCTTCCCATGACTTTCCTTCATCGAACTGCATTCAATTTACAGAAAACTCAGGATGTATTTTTCTCTTGTTTTTGTTATGTTTGATGTTTTGGAATCTTCTATAAATTGAATGCAATTCGATGAAGGAAAGTCATGGGAAGATAAGAGATGCTCTATCAAATAAAAATCTTTTCTCAAAAATCTCGAATGAAACGCAGAAAGCTAGTTGTGAGGGTCTTGGTTTTTCGCAAACACTCATTCAAGTAGTTTTGCTAAACTCTTCGATCCTACCAATATTTTAATAGAGAATTCTTCCCGCTACACAAATATTTTTGCTGCATTATTCTCAATATCTTTTTATTTCCTATAAGAAAATTAAAGATTTTCTTCTCTATTAGAGTTCTATAGCACATTTCTTCATCATGATAATCGAAACTTTCAATTAAATCATTTATTATTTATTCAACTGACTAGCAAAAGCAAGCATACTTACATGTTCTATTCTCTCTAGGAGTATTCGCTGATTAGATTGTTCCTTTAAGATGAAAATTAAGAATAATATTTTTTATTTTCTCGTTTTTTTTCTATCATTATTCTAATAATTTTCTTTCTCTTATTGTTTTTTTTTTTGTCTTTTCTATCTAAATGAAACCAACCTGTAAACATTCAACAATAAATAAAATAAATGGTCGGATAGGTGATTCAGTTCGTTGATGTTTTAATTCTTCACAAAGAAATATTGCTAAACCACATAAAGCAATTTCTCTAGAAAAAAACAAAAAAACAAAAAGAAGTTCGATTTAAACAAATGAATTATTTTGTTTGTATTTACCGTGATTCAAGCATTGCATCATTTTGTGATGCTTTTATTAAATCACGCATAATCATACGTTTTAATGATGTACGATCCATTGTTGTAGGTACATATTCTTTCTCTTTAGTAGATAAAACATCAAGTTGTTCAAAATGATTTGGAAAACAAACAAGACTACTCAATATAGTCAATGCTTCAACTTTTGGAATCTAGTTTTTTTTAATAATTAAGAATTTACATATAATTATATTATCAACCAAAAAAAAAAAAAAAAGAGAAAAATCATATTACAATTTTTCCATCGACAAGACTTGGTTTTTGACCAATGTCACAACAAGCTGTTGTAAATAATGGTATAAGTAATGTTGATGATGGCCAACATCGATGAAAAAAATCTACTTTACATGAACTAATTATAACATGAATAATATCCTAAAAAATAAATAAATAAATAAATAAGTTTTTCTTTTTTGTTTTATCTTTTCTATTTTACTTCATCTCCTGATAATAAACCTTGATAAATACTTAATAAAAACATATCAAGAAAATCTGCTGGTGGTGAAACATCATGATTAAAAACACCCATTGAACATAATAATTTATATGCTGATAATTTTCCTTCACGATATGTTGATGGTAATGTTTGTATAGCCTACCAAAAAAAAACAAAAATATTTAAGATAACAAAAAACAAAAAAAGATTCTTATTTCATTTTAAACAAACTTCAAAAAGCCATGGTGCAAATATTAATAATGGTGGACCATCAAAATATAAATCTCCATGTAAAGTATCTTTTGATAGAATATGAATCTAAAAAAAAACATAAAACAATCAAAAACTTTTTTTGTTTTTCAAAAAGTCTTTCTTACACGACAAAGCATTTTCCATATATCAAAAAGTGTTTTCATTATACGATTATGTTGGTCAGCTGCACGTATTTGATTTATATTTCCAAGTGAACCAAGCATACGAAACCATGCTGTATAAGCTGTTTCAGGTGCAAGACGTGTTGATTCATAATTTTGTTCATGAATATAAACTGTTGTATCAATACTATCGATTGTAGCTGAATCTTGTGGAACTAAAATTTTTATTGAAATTATAAAAAATAAAAATTTCATTTATTAGATTTTTCTTTTTTTTTTTTTTTTACATGAATGAAGACTATCAACAGTTGATTGACTTAATGGATGATGATTACGTGATAATGGTGGAGATATATGTTGATGATGATCTGATGTTGAAGTTGATTCTGAAACTGTTGTTGAACGAGAATCTGTTGTATTTATATTGTTAGCTAATTTATAGTAAACAAAAAAAAAAAAGAATATTTTAATATAATCTTCTAGAAAAATAAGACAATTTATTAAATATATTCAAGTATCATATGTAAAGCTCGTCGAATCGAAAATTTTCGAATTCGGACTTTATTTTAAAGCTGCCTCTTGTGATTCTTTTTCCAAAATAGATCTTAATCGAGAAAGAAAATTATTTTCATTATTAAAATTTGTCCATTTTATTTCTCAATTTCATCAAGCCATAAATGTCTAAACCAGTCAGTAAAGAAGAAAATTTAAAAAAAAATCAAATTGACTCCGGTTGTTGAAAACTTCAAAGGTTCCAAAATGAGTACTAAAATTTCTCTAATTCGGACAGATAATCAGATAAGAGATCGAAATTTGTTTTTCTATATATAACTAAGCAGTTTCAATATCAGATAATAATACCTTGAAAATCCTATTCTAATTTCAACAATTGAAATTTCATCTAGGTTATATTCCAAAAAAAAATGGAAAAGATTTTTATTTACTTTTATATTGTGATGTTAATGTATCACCACTAACAATACCACTTAAACTATTTGTATCAAGTACACCAGTTGATACATTACTATAATCATCACTCATTGGTGAATCAAGTGGATGAGTTGGTGGTGACAAATCACTCATGTGAGAATTAGCTAAAAACAAAAAAAATATATTAATTATATTAATAAACATGATTATATATATATATATAATATACGTGTTTGTTGTGATATTTGAATAGTTAATGGTTGTTGTTGTTGTTGAGTAGGTATTAATGATTCAGTTGGACTGAATAAAAGTGGATTTTGTTCATTTAAATGTCCTTCCATTATTGCTTGTTGTTCACCTATTTGATTACTTGGAATACTTGCTAAAACATGTGGCTATAAAAATAAAACAATAGAATTTTTCTTTTCTCAAAGAATTATATATATTTTTTTTTATCGTACTCGATTAGTAGTTGATGATAATGTTGTTGCTGTTGTATGTGTTAAACTATCATCACTACTTGTTCGTCGTCGTTCTGGTCGGGTACGTTCAATAACTGATGGTCGATTTGGTTGTTGTTGTGGTGCTATTTGTTCTGGTAGATCACCATCGTCATCAGAACTTAATGTTCGTATACGTGGTATAATCGATGAAGAATTTTGATTAAGAGAACTAGATGGAACAGATTGTACAGTACGTCGAATACCAGCATTTGGACCACCTCGACGAATATGTGATGTTTGTGATGCTTCTGTTTCAACTTTATAAACAAGACGACCAAGATCTTTTGTTAATGCTCTCATTGATAACTATTTAAAAGAATTGAAATTTTCAAAGAAAAAAAAAAATTCTTTTTCTTTTTTATTAATACTCACATCCCATTGATCAATAACTTCAGGCCACATAACTTTTGATGATAATGTATCACTTAAATTATTCCATAATTCAACACTAACATATAATGATGCTGATTGAAATAGGAAAAGAAGAGTCTAAAATAAATATAATTAACATCATAAGAATAAAAATTACTATAATCAATGATGCAAAAGTTTCAGTTCTTAGTATATTGTGTCTAGGTACTGATCGAAAAAAAATTTCAAAACGTAATGTAGTCAAATCAGACAGGAGCACGATCAGATTTGCTGGTTCTAGTAGATCTGTTAGTTGAAACTTCTTCTGTCCAGACTTAATTTTCGTATCTTTCAAAGATATATTTACAAAGAGTTTAAAATTCTGATTTAAAATTTTTCAATTGACTCTCATAATCGATTGATAAATGAAGAAATACATTTCGTTTACAAAACTTTTGCGTCTCTATGCGTTATTTTCTTATTAACAACTTTCTCGTATAATAAAAATAGTTCTATCAAAAAATTCAAAATTTCTATATCAAATAAAATAAAATAAAATTTTCATGTTTTTTTAACTATCTTATTTCACTAATGAAACAGTTTAAAAAAACAAAAATAATAAATGAATATTATTTTCACATACTTTTATCGTATTTTCAATATAGGTATGATTTGTATTTTGTGTTGGTCGATCTTGTAATGAAAGTCGAACAATTCTTAACATAACTCTTAAAATTAAATCCCTAGAAAAAATTTAATTTCATAAACAAAAAGAACATATAAAGCTATTAAATAATCTTTTTTTTTTGTTTTGTACCATGTTGTTCGATCTGGTGTATGTCTTTGTGGTAATTTTTTATAGAATGTAACAAGACCAGCAAGTGATCTTTCACGCATAGCTTGTTCAGGTTGTGTTGTTAATGTTTGTTGTTCATCATTGATTGATGATGGTCGTACAAGAAATAAATAAAATGATTGTGTTATAAAAATTTGTAACCAACGATTAAGACCTAAACGTAGATGATTATCATTAGGTACATCATTTGATGATGAACGTTGTTCAGGTTCAAGCATAAAAACTGGTTCTAAATGTTTTTCCTATGAAATTAAAAATTATTATTATTATTATTATAAGATGAGATTTTTTTTGTCAAATAATTGATACAAACTTTTATCCAATTGTTCACCGTACGAAGAATTAGCGAAGCAGCTAAACCATTTTCACCGGACATAAGATAACTCTTTAAAAATCAAAACAATAATTTCAATCGAAAAAAAAACGATTTTTTTTTAAATGTTTATTTACCTGTCGAAATATCTCATGAATAAAATTAATATTTTCTTGTGTTGATAAAAGTACATTTTGACCTATTTCTAACATATTACTATCCAATGGTCCAATTAGACTTGCTAATTGTTGAAATGATGGGAGTTGATTTTTTGATCCTGATCCCGTTATTATATGATATAATTCATTTGATGATGATGAGTAATCTGATGAACTAGTTATTGTACTAGTTGTTACTGTTGATTGGGCAATAATATTTAGAGGCGATGTAGGTGGATTTTGTACACGAGTTCTATAGAAACAAAAGAATTTATAATAGACGAAGAAATAGATTTTTTTTTTAAACCCTAACACGAACATTTGAATGTGCGGACTTCAGCCGGTTCTATCATCCTGTTATCCATACAGAATATTAAATAAAGCTGTTCAACTTCTAGATATCCTCGTAACATTCATCGGTTATATTCAACTATTATTTATATGAATAGATGTATCTCAGGATTTTCATAAAACAACCAATAATACTAAATAATTGCTGAAAGTTATCTTCTTTCTTCGGTATATGACTGAACGGAAGATTCACATCGTATTATGTATCTAACAATTATTCAAATTGCTTTTATATTTTATAGTTCCGAAAATTTTTATTTCTGGATTTTACTTTTTCGAGTTTAAATTCCAATTATCAAAAACAAAAAACTCACAATGTTCTATCTCGATTTTGTCCTTCATTAAGAAATGGTAATAACCATATAACAAATGCTGTTCGACATAAACATGCTTGTCGTCTTCTTGGTCGATCACTTTCACTTCGTACTGTTTCAGGGATTGTTACTAAAACAGAAAAAAGAATTTTTTTTTTTATAATAAAAAAATGAAAAACAATTTGAATCTTTTTACTTGGTATAGATAAATCATAAATATTTTGTTCAGTAAATGTTGGAAAAAGTGTTGGCATATAATAACGTTTAAACATATCGAATAGAAATCGAAAACATTCTTCTTGTTTTTCTATACGTGATGATTCAGAATTTGAATCCCATAAAATACGTTTACATGTATCCGACATAGTATGTAACATAAAAAAAAGCCAACGATCAACAGTTGGTTCATAATCAGAAGTATTTTTTGGCCATATTGGAATTATATCAGCCCATCGAAAAGTATCTAGAATATTCGAAAATTAACTTTCAATATATATATATTTATATCATTACAAACCAGGTGGTGTACGAAATATTTCATTAAATGCTGCCGATGCTTGTTCATCTGTATTTGAAATTTCTCCGCTACTACGTGTACCAACCAATGTTTGATTCCAATTACGTATAAGACTTTTAAAAAATGTATGTTCATCATCAACAGCATTACTACCTAATATTTGATACCAAAGAAGAAATAAACGTATGCCACGTGCAACACCCTATTTTAATTTCAATGATTTTTTTGATTTTTTTTTTCTAGGAATAAATTAAAATTTATTTACTTGTGGACTATTACAAACAACAAAATATCGTTTGATTACATTGCAGATACAATGTGCTTGCCATCTTTGATGTACAAATGTAGGTAATAATGTAAGAATACGCTATAAGAAAGAGAAAATATTAGTTAAACATAAAGTGTGTAAAGAGGAATAGGTCATGACATTAAAATTGATATTTTTATTGAGAAATTTTACATATATGGAAATCGAAAAAAAAACAATCTCAAGAGATTAAATAAAATGTTAATAAATTATGGTAGAAGTGTAATTCTGGCAGGTTTTATTTTATGCTTTAATTATAATCACTTATCAGCAGCAGCACTAATGTTTAATCGATCATATTATATGTTCTTCAAACATATCTTTTCACGCTTGAAATCTGTATGGTAAACAGATTAAACATCGAAGAAAAAAAAATATATTCATTTATCAATGGAATACATTGTTGAAATTATTTATTCTTTTTCTTTTTTTTTTCATAAATACCTATTCACCAATGAATCCCAAGGGAAATTTAAAATTTAAGTGATTAATCTATTAGTTAATATGAATATTTTTTTACCTCCAATAAATTGGTAACATATTCAAGTTCTAATTGATTTTGTTTTGAAACTAAAGACAAAAATTTCTTGTTGTATTCTTTGTTTTTATTTTTATTTTTGTCTAATACAACATACGTGCTCGTGTTATATTACTTTCAACTTGACTAAAATTTTCAAAGAAAAGATAAAAAATATATTGATATGCAGTTTTAAAAAATGCTTGTAAATCATCAATAGATAATTGATCTAGATAATAAAAAGAAAAAGAAAGATTTATTTTTTTTTAAAATTATATTCATAGAAAACATTAAATTAGTTTTTATTATTTTTTTGCTATCATACCAATTAATATTCTTAAATAACGTTGACGATCAGATGGATTTTTTGTTAAATCAAGTATTTTTTCTTTTGTTCTTTGAATTGTTTCATCGCCTCTGCTCGGCTTCGCTCGGCCGAACATTAGTGCCACTCAAGATGATTATTTAATATAAATAAAATACTAATTACATGGAATACAACACAAAAATAAGCAGATTATTATCTACAATATATGTGATAACTGACCTTTTCGTTCTTTAAAAAATCTGAAGAATAAGCAAAAAAGACAAAAAAATAATATATTTTTTTATAAATTTCTATTCGTTTAATTTCTATCCAACAGAGTTATTTTAATACAAAGATGTCGTTAATAATTTCATAATTTTTCACTGAGAAAAAAAAATTAATAAAATTTTCATTTATTATTTTAATTTTTAATTAAAATTTCCTTAAGAAATATATCTAATTCTATTTCATTGGTTATTAAATATCTTTGTTGACCTAAAAACGTATTAACACGGAGGATAATTAAACAAAGATGGCGATTGATTATTCTCCGACTACACATGCCCTCTTTTGTCTCGAAAAATAAATATCATTTGTTCTAAATATTTTTTTTTTCTGATTTAGAATGGTTTCATCGGAAACAGGATGTACATTAATTGGTGGAAGTTTAATTGTTCTACTTGTAGCTGGTTATTTTGGTCAACAATTTTTACCAGCACCTAAACCAAAAATAGTCGGTTTTGATTTAGGTACAACTTATTCATGTGTTGGAATTTATCATGCTATAAGTGGTTTAGTTGAAGTTATACCTGCACAACGTAATCGTTCATGTATGCCATCAATTGTATCATTTTTACCTAATGGAACAATTCTATTAGGTTATGATGCATTTGATCATCTTGAAACAAATCCAAAATATACAATATATGATACAAAACGTTTTATAGGTAAAAATTTTTCATTAGAATCAATAAAAAAAATTCAAGAAGATTATCCATTTGAAATTATACGAAATGAAAATGGTTATGTTGAATTTATTATATCTGATAATCGAACAAGTATAACACCACAAGAAATTGGTTCATTATTATTAAAACATTTAAAAGAATTAGTTGAAAAATATTTAATGATTTCAAAAGTAAAACTTTGTGTATTAAGTGTACCAGCTGAATTTAATGATGAACAACGTAATGCAACAAGACAAGCAGCAGAATTAATTGATATTAAAGTTGAAAGAGTTATATCAGAACCAACAGCGGCTGCATTAGCATATGGTCTACATAAACGTGATAATGTACGTTATGTATTAGTTATTGATATAGGTGGTGGTACAACTGATGTTAGTTTATTATCAGTACAAGGTGGAATGTTTTCAACACAAGCTATGGCTGGTAATAATCGTTTAGGTGGACAAGATTTTAATCAAAATTTATTTCATTATATATTAACATTAATTGATGATAATAATAAAGATAAAATTGATCCAAATTTTTTACAACATTTAAGAATTGAAACTGAAAAATGTAAACTTGATTTAACAATATTAGATCAATGTATAATTAATTCAAAATGGATTATAACAAGAAAATTATTTGAAGATATTAATAAAGATTTATTTAAAAAAATTCTTGAACCATTAGATAGAATATTTGCCTATATTAATTCAGATATAAATGATAATGATGAAGATAATGATGATATAAGTAATAGAGTAACAGCAAATAATATTGATGAAATTGTTTTAGTTGGTGGTTCAACACGAATGTTAAAAATTCGACAATTAATTGAAGATTATTTTCAAAAAAAACCTAATATTGAAATTGATCCTGATGTTGCTGTTACACATGGAGTATCAATACAAGCCGGTATTATAGGTGGAGTATGGCCATTAACTGTTACTGCAACAGAAGTACGAACAGCAGTAGAAAAAATTCATATTGAAACTTAATAGGCAATTCTTTGTTTTTTATAATTTATTTAATTATCAGGATATTTTTTATCAAAGGAGTGCAAAATTGATAGGTGTTGTTTTTTGTTTTCCGATCTCGAATTATGTCCATCCGGTGGTATTTATTATACCTTTGGTTGTGTTTTTCATTTTATCAAAAAAGAAATCTTCTATTCCAAAACTTGTTTTGTTTTTTTTTTGTTGTCTATTTTTCTAATTGTTATTTATTGTCTTGTTATAATAACGAATTTTTCGTTTTTGTTATAAATCTTTATTGTTGCCTATATGATCTGTTCACTTAAACATGATTAATTCTTTTGTTTTTTAGATAATAATAAATATATCTTTTTTTTTTTCTGTTCTTTTACTTTTATTAATCTTGACCACGAAAAGCTCATGCTGATCGTGAGTCATTTATCATCATGCGTAAAAAGTCAACAACATTATCTCCATTAAAACGACCGTCTACTCGTTCATTATCAATAAATAAACATCAAACATCCTCCTCAGATAAATATACATTTCAATCCGACGACGACGAAGATCATAACAAAAAATCAACGGTGTTTATACGTAAAAACATAACACCAACACCAACACCAATAAAACGTTCTCGTGGTCGACCACCTAAAACTCCTAAAATTGAAGATATTTCAAAACGTATATCAATATCATCATCAAATATTGAAAGTGATAGTGATATAGAAGAAAATTCTTTAATAACAAAACGAAAATATTCAAATAAATATTCATACGAAAAACCAGTTACACGTCGTTCATCACGTCTTATATCTCAAACAAATACACCAATAATAAGTGAAAAATTTTCTACACCAAAAAAACGTGGACGTAAACCAAAAATGTTAAATATAAATGATAATAATAATGAACAAGATAAATCTAAACAACAAATTGAAACAGAAAATATCATTCCATCACAATCAATAAAACGTCGTTATATAAAAAAGAAAACTTTATCAACAGATACAAATCCTAAAATTGATCTTAATGAATATGATGAAGATAATAATAATAATAATAATAATAATCAAAAACTTTCAACTATTGATGAAAAAGATCTTATGCAATTTGGTTCACCACAACATCAAATTCAAGTACAACAACAACAACAACAACAACATCAATCTGATGATGATTTTAGTGATGACTCAGTTGAATTTGTTTGGAAAGGTTCAAGTAAAATGTCAATTGAAATTCTTAAACGTCGTATACCTAAAGAAGAACCACGAGATTCATCATCAAATCAAATTGATCCAACAGCACAACGTAAACGTGCTATTATTCCACGTTTAACTAATTTTGATGCTTTATCTGGTCAACCAATTGATAATACATCAATATCAAGAAAACATGATAATATTGAACAAAATCTACAAAAAAAATCAACATCTGTTATTACATTAAATAATGTTTTTCAAAATGATTTTGTTCCATCATATAATGATACAGGTACAAAAATGACAACAACAACAACAACAACAACAGAAGATAAACCTCGCCCTCGTATTTATGCTGTTAAAAGTACAACAATGAAATCACGTCCACAACAACAACAACAGCAACAACAACAACAACAACATCAACAACAACAACAGCAACCAGAAATTAAACGACCTAAATGGATGAATGATCAACAAGAAAAATCTGAAGAAGATGATGATGATGATAATAATAATTTACCACCAGCTGGTGAAGAACCACATGATTATGATTATATACCAAAAGGACAATATATGCCAAAACGTCCAAATTATCGTGGACGTGGTACATATTCAGGACGACGTGGTACAGGTATGCGTGGACGACCACCTGGTTCACGTCGACAATGGCATGATGATGATGATGATGATGATTATGATCAATATGAAGAAATTAATTCAAGATATGGACCACGAAAACAAACAACATATCGATCTACACGTAATAAAAAAACACACACACAAACAAAAATATTATTCAAATAAATTTTTTGTGTTCTTATATTTTAGGACCTATGTATGATATGGGTGGTGGTGTTGATGATGATGATTATGATAGAAATCGTCGAATGAGTTTAACACAATCTTATCGTCGAAATAATATTGTTCGTCCACCATTATCATCCATGAGTGGTCAACGTCGTATTGCAATTAATAATGGTAATCATCCAATATATAAAGTAAGAAATGAAACAAAAAAAAATTATAAATTATTTACTTTTTCGAAAGAATATTCGTCTTTTTTTTTGACCAAAACATAGTCAAAATTGAGCTAATTATATGAAGTGATAGAGACTAATCACAATGTACATTAAATAAATAAAAAAAACAAACGAAAGTTATCCTATCATTGATTCAAACAGGGATAAATATACTTTGAGGCTTGCGTAAATTTTTTTTTTTTTGTTGAGAATTTTAAGTTGAGTAAAACTACCTGTACCGATAAGAAAATAATGAAATAAAACTATTTCGTAAGCGCGTCAATTCAACTCTGCTCAAAGTATGTTTTCTATCATCACTGTTAGCAGAAACTATCCTGAACCATACACAGCAGGTTTTTCTGCTAAACTTTTTGTTTTTAAGACTCGAAAGCATTTCTATTGAAAATTAATGTTCTATTCGAAACTATATCGAATGATGGTATGGCATAAGATATTTTCTTGAGAAAAAATGTGGACTAGGGAACTATTCGAACTGATAACCACTGTTTGAGTTCACAAGAAGGTCTCGATAAGACTAGAAAGATCCTAAATGGGTTCATGCCTCTGGAGCCGAATTATGATCGTTTTACTGAATTTTCGATCTTGCTTTAGGTATCGATCGAAAAATTAAATAACGATATTTCGACATGAAGCTTTTTGCATAGATAGATCTGATGATTCTGGGAATAATCTCAACATTTCTTTCAAGATATTCTCAGGATCATTGGACCTATTCATGAGTAAATTTCATGTCGAGATACCGTTATTTGATTTTTCGGTAAATATCTAAAGCTGAATCGAAAATTCAGTAATATGATTATAACTCAACTCTAGAGTCCTTCGTGACTAATATACAATCATTTCTGAGTAAAAGAAAACCATTTCCGAGAATGAAAGTTACATGTCTGTCTGCCATGCGAAAAAATTTAATGAAATTTTTCTTCAATTACAATGCTATTTTTTTTTTGGTTTTGTCGATATATGGTCAAAAAAAAAGAGATGAATATTCTTAAATAATTATCTGATAATATATGTGTGTGTGTGTTTTCTCAGCCATACAAATCATCGAGTTATCGTCCGACACCAGCTACATTGGGTTTATCGACGTCAAGTCGTCGTACGAGTAGTACTAGTCGAAGTCCTGTCAGTACAATCTCCAAATCTCATCATCATTTATCATCAACAATTTCCAAACATTATTCGGTGAGATTATTCAAAACACACACACACATATTTTTAAATAATCTCATTTATCTTTATTTAAATAAATATTTCTTTTTTTTTTTTTTCCTTTTTTTTCTAATGTTAGGATGATGATTATTATCATCAACAAACACGTCCGACAACAATAAATAATACAAAAATGAATGATACACAATTAAATGATGTTTCAAATCAATCACAAATATTTTTTGTTAATATGCCACAACAAGAACAAAAAAATCAACAACAACAAGTTCTCTCAGTTTTAACATCAGATCAACAACAACAGGTTCTTCCTGTAACTGTTGTACAACAAGGTAAAACGAAAAAAAAAAGTTTTTTTTTTTTTCTGCCATCATTTTATATTATAAAATTTTAATATATTTAATAGTTAAATTACCTGTTGATGCACCTAAACAAAAAAAAATTCTCCCTAAACCATCATCAACAAATCAACAAATAAATACATCCAATGAACAATCTTCAATAAATAATAATAAACCATTTTCATGGTCACGTCCACCAGGTCGTCTACAATCAAATCATAATGAACAAATAATAAATAAAAATATTGGTTCAACATCAATTAATACAGATTTAGATACAATGGAAGCAGCACATGTTTTAGCAACAGCAGCTGATGTAACAATGGCTGCTGATGCACGTCGTAAAGCTCAACAACATGATGATGATATGACAATGATGGTTGATGAAACACCATCAAATATAGCTGGTGAAGAAACAATACAATGTGATGATAATACAATTAAAACAATTAATCAACAACAACAACAACTTGGAACAATAACAGCAAATATAATTGATGAAAATGGTGTTGAACATACAGTTTTATTATCAACTGAAGAAGCACAACAATTACTTGGTTCACAAGGTGCTATTATTGTTGATAGTGGTAAATAAAAAAAAGCTTTTCTTTTGTTTTTTAAATAATCTATTTATTATTATAATTTTTTTTTCTCTCATAATAAAGATGGTCAACCAATATCAATTCAACAAGCACAACCTCAAACATTTGTTTCACCATTTGCACTTGATCAAGCTCAATTACAAGCATTACTTGTTCAAGCTGGTATTGATCCAAATACACCATTAACTATTGAACAAGTTGATCCAAATCAACAACAACAAATAGCAACATTATGTACATCACCAGGTGGTACACAATATACTGTTTTTACACAAGGTTCAACACAACAACAATTTATATTACAAACAACAAATGAACCAACATTATCTTCATTACCAATTCAAACACAAACAATAATACCAAAAGAAGATATATCAATATCACCACCAACAAAACGTCGTGCATTTGCTGTTAAATCAACAATTCGTTCAGAAACATTTGATGATTTAAATGAAAGACCACGACGTAAAATATTTGCAACAAAATCAACAATTCCATCAATGAGTAAGGAATTTTTCTTTTATTTTCATCATATTTAAAATATTTAATTTTGTATTTTCTAGATGATGAAATTCATGATGATCAAGAAGGTTTTATTGGTACACGAGCATATCATCGAAATCCAGGTCGAAAATAATAAAAACAAACAAACAAACAAACAAACAAAAAAAAAAGAATTTTCTTATGTATAAATTGTCTTGTCATTATTATTCGTTATGTTTCTTCTTTTAGTTGTAAACTTTCTTTCTTCTTCATTTTTTTTCTATTTCGCTAAACTCTAAGAGGATGATGAGCGAAATAAATAACTAAACATTTTGTCTATTTTCATTTATTCTCTATGTATCTATTGTTTTTCTTGATATTAACCACTCTTCTCTCTATTCGTGCAAAAGTATGTATGCGTGTGTGTACAGCGCTACTTTGTACAAAATATTGTATGAAGAAACTTTTTCCCTATATAACACAACACAAAAAAAAAATATACATATATATATTCTGTATCTACATGTTTTCTTTTTCTTTAGCATGGCTCTACATTTTTGTTTTCTGCTTTTTAGTATATATCAATGATTTAATATAGGAATATTCAAGGAAAAGATGTGTATAATGAGATGAGAATAAAATTTTTTTTTTTTCTTTTCTTTTTTTTTTCTTTTTGTCAATCATTAGAATGAATGAAAAGAAAAAAAAAGTTAATAATTATTCGATAATAAACAAAAGTTAGATAAGATTGATTGAATGGTAGTTTTCTATTTGGATATTTATTCTCGAGAATTGGTATAATTTATTTAGTAGAATTCAATAGAATAGATGGTGTGCCATAGAGAAAGGTCGACAACAAAAAAATCTGTTAGAATGTTAATATTTTGTCATACAATAAAAAGATGTATCTTGCTAGTTGGAATCTTCTAAAGTATTTTTCGACCATTTTTCTCTTCGACCTTTCTACGATCAACAGAATAGATTGTTGAAAATTTTTTAAATAAAAAATATAATAATAAATTTTGGGATTGTCAACTATTTGTTTCTAAGAAAAATATATTAAAATTATAACTTTTGATTTCTCTGTGAATTCCCTTCAATGTTTATTTTATTTTTAATTTTAATGAAGATTTAAACATTTGTTTGTCAAGTTTTACAAGCAACTGATAAAGGAATCTCATCAAATGATATCCTATGTTTGAGCGCATATTTTTTTGCTCATAAGTAGGATTCATAATGCGAATAAAAATTCTAAAATGCTTCGCACTATCAGGCCTTTCTTCTAACGTTATAATTATTTTATTCAGCTTTTCTTCTGAAAATTTTTTGTAATAAAAAATCTTCTAATACTTATTACATCCTACAAATTTCAAACTCAAATGGATGCTTCTCGTCGAAGATAATGTATTTGCAAAAAATACATGACTTTCTCAAAACAAAAAAAAAACCTTTCAAAATAGCCTATTCCTTTTCTAGGCCTTCCATTTGAGCTAAAATCTTCAATACTATAAAATCTGTCATTGCAGAAAATTTCAGACGAAAACTTCTTTATTGCAGCTGTCTTCATAACATCGTTCAATATGTTGAAAATTCAGTAAAATAATCATAAATCAAAAAGAATGACCTAATGAAGTACGAACTCTTTTAAGATTTTCATTTACGTGATGCGTTCTATTCATAAAAAAAATATGAATTCAAACAGAATGTATCAATTCGAGAGAATCGTCGCCTCGGAAATCTTTCGCTAAATCATATTATAAGATTCTTGAAAGATCTTATTGCCTTGTAAGATATCATTATAAGATTATAGGAAACCTTATACGATGCTAAGATCTCACAAGGATTTTATAAGTCAATTTGATGTAAGGTTTCGTAGATCACGTGATTTCATGTAGTTTTTTTGACCTGAGTAATTTCTTTCTAAGAAGATTCTTATAGAATTTCATCGTTTTCTGTATGAAATAAAAGAAAAAAAAAACAACTACGTTGTTATCAATTTTCTGCATGATGACTTTCTTGCATAATCTTTGTGAATATATGACATCTTAATTACAACAAAAAGAAAAAACGAATGTATTCAAAATAAAAATAATCATTTTTATCTTCATACAAAACGATACTTGAAAAATTTTGATTTTTATAATATTTTTAATTAAATTTATTTTATCAAAAAAAAAAAAAAAATTGAATATTTATTTTTTTTTGCTTTTTGTTTTTTAGATCAAATTAACAATCAAAAACTAGCGATATTATTACCCATCCAATGACATTTTTTCGAACATTGATTACATTTTCCCTTGGTGTTTATAGTGGCATGTATATGAGTCAAAATTATGAAGTTCCAAAAGTTGAATCTCCTAAACAATTATATGAACGTTTAATGGAATATGTATCTTCATATAAAAAAAAATGATTAGAAAAATTAAAAAACTAAATACATAAAATCTATTTTTCTAATTGTGTTGTGTGTGTATGTGTGCACGTAATTAACTTTATTATTTGTCGTTCCTATCTTCTTACTTTTTATTAATACACACCCATATATATATATTTCTATACATATGATTCCAGATTTGTTTTTAAACAAAGAAAAAACAACCACCAAGAGATAATGATAACGAGGTATTTCATACGAAATTTTTCATCAATAACTCCTTTATGTCATCAATTTATCATTCGTCAATTGTCATCATCTGATCATAATCTATCAACAGTTGAATATGAAAAAATAGCTAATGAAACATTAGAATCATTAACAGACGCTTTTGAAACTGTACTTGAAAAACATAAATTACCATCAGATGTATTTTATTCAGATGGTGTTTTAACTGTTGAACTTAATAAATATGGTACTTATGTTATTAATAAACAAACACCAAATAAACAAATATGGTTATCATCACCATTTAGTGGACCTAAACGTTATGATTTTATAAATGAAACATGGATTTATAAACATGATGGAAAATCATTATATGGATTATTAAATAAAGAATTTTCAAATATATTTAAAAACGATAAAAATATTGATTTTGAGATATGTAGTTATGGAAAAAATTCACAATAATAGAAAAAAAAATAAAATTATTTCTATACTATTCTCTTCGGTATTTTTTTTTTATTCATTCATATTCAATGATTGATTGTTGTCTATTGTTGAAAGTTGGAAGAGAAAAAAAATCTTGATTGAATTCTTCTATTTGACGACTCATCATTGAATATAGTAAGGATTTATCTTTCTTATCCGTTCAACTATGAATATAGGATGATGTGCGAATATGTGAATAAACTCTCGGAAACAGACTATATTCTATCGAGTTTTTCTTCTTCTGCTTCTTCTTCTTTTTCTTCTTCTTCTCTATCGTATTTCCAAGCTTTCAACTCATTGTCTTTTGTCTAGTCGATCTCTGCAAACAAGTTCGAGAACATGAAACTTTATTACTATTGAAAAGATCTCGCTTTTCACAGATGCATACAAGAAGAAAATGTCATAATATGTGTATGTATGGTTTATTCTATAGGCACTATAACCAGTCCGAAACTTCTCTGAAGAGAAAATGAGTATGAGCGCAAGAAATAAGAGAGAGAGAGAGAGAGGGAGACAGAAAACTGTCGAGTCGTTAATAGGTTTTCTCTTTTTCTCATTCTCTTACAGAATAAGTCACGATCGTAGCATTAGAAAGAAAAACCTATATGACGATAATGACAGTTAGCTAGCAAAAAGAGACCGGTTGCTCTAACCCTTCAATATTCTCTTTTCTCTTCAGTATGTGTAAAAAAATAGAAAATAGAAGCAAACAACATGCATATATGGAAACGATGTAGGTCAAATGATCAAGGAATTGAATCATACTATAGAGAAAGGGGAAAAGCTCGCGATGAGAAATATACAGAAAATGAAAAAAGAGGAAATAAAAACCATTTGGTGTGGCAATCATAAGACGAAGTTAGCTTATTTCCAATTGCTGTCAGCATTAGACACGCACATAATATATATATATATATATATATATATATATATTTGTTTATCTATGTACGAGACGTGACTTGTATATTCTACGAACAGGTAAAAAAACAAAAGAAAAGATCTTGCTCTATTGATGTTTATCTATTCTTATAAATCGATGAATAAATTTGCTATTTTGTTTTAAAAGAACTTCAGTGATGGTTGAGAATAAAAAGAGGAAATCTATAAGAAGAAGAAAAAGATGAAGATGAAAAAAAAAAAAAAAAAAGAAAAAGACAGAAACATCGCCTCATGCTGTTATTGTTACTGTTGTTGATGCTATAGAATAATATTACTTCATTGCACACGGCAGTAAAGACAATTAGCTCCTCGATATTGGCCGGAACAGAGAAAAGGAAATTCTACTCCGACAAACATAAATATATAATACATGTATAGAGATAGATAGTTGATTTTACCATCTTCTCGTTTTAACTTATGCATATTAAGACAGATACACATTTCTGGAAAATGCGAATCACGAGTCTGTCATCACTCTTGTCGACAGTTGGTTACTGCATCATCTTCAAAAAAAAAACCGACAATATAGATAGATCGACGAATGGATGGATGAATTATTTGTGTGGGTGAGGACGTGTTATTTTGTACGATACGTTTTCTGTATTATATCAATATGAAATGTTTTTTAGTATCTAGTCTAGAGAGAACATCTAAATGTCTCCAAGATTTCATAATCGATGTTGGTTGACTGCTTGTTTGAGTGAGATTGACAATGGCACACACGGGACACAATATGACAGGATAGCAAATTGTGAAATGATAGAGAACACCGTCTAAACAATAGACATACCAATAGAAACGAAGAATGATTGTGGGTGTTAGTGTTGCGAAGAAAAGAATGCTATAAAAAAATAAAGGAAAACATACAAGCTGTCATTTTGTGGTTGAACGGTAAAGTATGCAAGTTAGCATTTTATCATGTTAGAATTGAAAATTTATTTTTAGCATAATCAATAAAAAAGTTACCTAAATACAATTAATTATATATATAAACGAAAATCTAGAAAAAAAGATGTTCATATCAATAGATAAATTTTTTTATTGTTTTGTTTTTTTTTTCCGTTTATATTTATTCTATAATTAGGAAGTAAAGAAATATAGAATTAATAAATTTTTAATGTTTATTT